GTGTGTGTGTGTGTGTAGGTGGAGTCTCAGCCGGTCTACGACTCCAACCGGTACAGGATTCTTTACTTCATCTCTTTTTTCATCATCGGTTCCTTCTTCACCTTCAATTACTTCATCAGAGTCATTGTCAACAACCTGCTGAAAGAGAAGATAAGTTTCTAAACTCACTGAACCACAGACAGCTGAGAGACATACAGACAGTTGAGAGACAAACAGGCTGAGAGACAGACAGACAGCCAAGAGACAAACAGGCTGAGAGACAGACAGACAGCCGAGAGACAGACAGGCTGAGAGACAGACAGCTTCTGATTTGATACCGATTGATCCTGGATTGTCTTTATATTTAATGCTTTTTGTTTTGGTCTTTATATTTAATGCTTTGTTTTTGTCTTTATATTTAATGCTGACTTTAGTTTTGTCTTTATATTTAATGCTCTTTGGTTTTGTATTTACATTGGACAGAAACACATTTTCATGACAGAAGAGCAGCAGAAATATTCTAAAACTATAAAGAATCTGTTCTCCAAGAAATCTTCTGTTCCCCGTCCTCAGGTGTGTTCACCTACTGTCTGTGTTACAACCACATAGTAAATACAGGTAGTTAGGGTTAGGGTTCAGGTTGAGCCAGAGTTTAGACCCAGAATTAACTCCAAATAATCCCACAATAATCCCGGAATAAACTCAGATCATTTGATAATATTTTGATAATGTTTTGATAATAATGTAATAATAATTTGATATTATTTTGATAATAATTAGATAATATTTTGATAATATTTTGATAATGTGATAATAATTTAATAATTATGTGATATATTTTGATAATAATGTGATATATTTTGATAATATTTTGATAAATAAATAATATAATAAACTCAGAATAAAGTCTCTTTACGTCCTTTTCTGTCTCAGAATCAGTGCCAGGCTCTGCTCTTTGACCTGGTGACCCGGCCGTGTTTTGAGGTGGTCATGGTGGTGTTGATCTGCCTGAACATCGTGGCGCTCATGGTGGAAACGGATGAGCAGAGCGTGCAGAAAAATGAGATCCTGTACTGGATCCAGTTCGTGTTCTTAATCATCTTCTTTATTGAGTTCATTCTAAAGATCATCGCACTCAGACGGTACTACTTCAGCGACTGCCGTAACGTCATCGACTTTGTGATTCTCATCGTGTTAATCATGAGTAAGTTTTCATTACGCAGAATGAGACTGTTAGAACTTAGCAACTTCACTCCAGTGGCCTCCAGTGGTTGGACTTGGACTCTTATAATTCACTGCACTTATGTCTGTAACCATATTTTAATGAATTAATTCAGTTAGTGTAGAATGGCTTGTTCTATCGGGGTGGAGGTTCAAGGTCTGTTTGTTCATCTAGAGAAAATGAACTTCCATCATTGTGCTGTTAGTTTCAGGTATTTTTAAAAGAAAAGTCAGCATCAGGGGAATTTAAAAGACATTCTTACAATATGTCATTGATCATGTTTAATCAGTGTATGATGATGCAATAAATGTATTAGCTATCACTGGATTACAAGATCATTCTCTTTCTCTCTCTTCAGGCTTATTCTTCGCTGACATATTCGAATATTATATTTTTTCGCCCCTTCTCTTACCTGTTCTCCGATTGGCTCGTATTGGTCGGATCCTCCATCTCATTCCCTGTGCTACGGGTATCCAGAAGCTGTTTTTGGCCTTTATGATGTCACTTCCTGCTCTCGTCAACATTGCCCTCCTTATCTTACTCATCATGTTCACCTTTTCCATCTTTGGCATGTTTAACTTTGCCTATGTGAAGAAGGAGCACATGATCAACCAAATGTTTAACTTCCAAACATTTGGGAACAGCATGATCTGTTTGTTTATGACCTCTGCTGGTCTGTTGAGTCCCGTCATGAGCATTCCCAGAGACTGTGACCCTGACATGGAGAACCCGGGATCCACGGTCAGAGGGGACTGTGGCAGCCCTGTGGTGGGCATCGTCTTCCTCACCACCTACATCTGCTTGTCCTTCCTGCTAGTGGTCCACCTGTACATCGCCGTCATCATGGCGACCTTCAACTCAAAGGACGCCGAGGCACTGTGCGACGACGAACTCCAGATGTTTTATAAAACCTGGAGCAGGTTCGACCCTGATGCCTCCCAGTTCATCCAGTACAGGTGAGTCGAGACTGTCTGTCTGTCTGTCTGCCTGTCTGTCTGTCTGTATATCTCCCAGGTAACCATTACAATAATAAACTGAGTAGAAGAAGAACACATTAGTTATTAAGTCTCCAGTCTAAAAACGATAATTAATCAATTATTTACAGGACATTATGACTTATGATTGTGTATTAAATAGTCAAGATTAGATGCCAGAAGGTGACCCAAGCAGTGTTGCCAACTTGGCGACTTTCTGGCTAAATCTGCCGACTTTCCAAATCCTCCTGGAGACTTTTT